TGATACTGGGTCTGGTGCCGTGCTCCTTCCTTAAGTGGAGGTAACCAGACTCTGTGGGTCATTGGGCTCATCCGGGGAGGGGCACATGAACCTACTCCACATGGGTCAGTAGGCCTGCTACAGTGCTCCTTCTTTCTTATGTTGTTATTTTTTTTACAAATTTTATACCTCTAAATCCATCATTCGAGCAGTAGTCAAATGATTAAAGAGGGATTTAATGGGTCCATGAACTGGATCCCAAACAGTAGAAGATGGAGTAATCAGTACCTCAGCCTTGCAGAAATATTCTACTAAACCACGGTACGGGTGGGAATCGAACTCACGGCAAGCGAGTCGTAAAACTCTTTATTTTAGCCAACTGGGCCAGTGACTTAGGTGCTGGCCTGAAGTTTTACGACTCGCCTGCCGTGAGTTCGATCCCCACCCGTACCGTGGTTTGTTTCCAATCGTGTTATTATGATTTCCTGAGTAATTTCATCTATGTACCGAGCTGAAAAAAAAATACAGGTTGGTGCAACGTTTTCAAATAAAGATTTGTGTACCATTACTGTAGCGTTATAGATGTAAAGAAGTCGGTTTAAAATAGTACTTGACCTTGTAAAAAGTTATTATCTGAAAATTATCCGACTATTTAACATCTGTGAAAGAATTTTTTCCAAATTATTGTTTAACGCTGAAGCACATAAATGCAAGTTGGTATAATAATTCTGTTGACAAAGTTAACATCTGGTTAGATTTATGTCAGGTGGTTCGCAAACTCAAAGAGAAATTGGTTGGAGGCAATACTGTTGCCTGTAGAAATATAGTTGTCTGAGCCAAGAACATGTGGCTCCTCTTGCTGGCTGGTAAGATGGATTGACTGGAATCATTATGACTTTCTCACCTCTATAAAAAAAAAAAAATCGGTAAAACTACCGACAATGTGGTGGTTAAAAGGCCACATGGGTAATAAGACTCTGAGGCTACGTTTCGCTCTCTATGCTTTATTATGGCAATACCGCTCTCAAGCGGAGAGCAAAACGTGGCCAGGATGTCACAATGGTTGCTCACGTGTCCCATTACCTAACATCTCTCAGGTCAACGGGGCTTTGTGCGAGTATTTAGTATTACTGTACTACGTTTTTTTGTTTACAAGCCAAAATTATAATCTGATTCATCTTGGAGAAAATACGCCCTGGTTACATTATCAGTGCCATCAAGCAGCCGAAGGTCAGTGGCAGAAGAAAGTTACACAAAATAAACTCTGACTCTCCGTTATTTATAATCTTGTTTTGCTTGTGACTGGCTTTAGACATGTCCATGTTTGTCATACATCAAAGTAATACCATTAGGCTGATAATCAAGGTTCCAGGGTTGGATATGCAATATGTACAATTATAAAAATTACTTAGAAAGAAGAATGGTGGAAGATGAGTTTGAGGAAATCAGTCCCTTGGTCTGGAGACTAGTTCAGTCCACCAATCTTAAGGGACTGATTACCCCAAAGTACTACTCATCTCCACCGTTCTTCTCTGTATCGAACTGAAGAAGCCACTGGCTAGCGAAACATTTCCACAAAAAGATATCCAAATATTGCACAAGTATATCCGCACATTTGATAATGTATATAGTCTGGGAGAGTGTGTGTGCTGTGGTTATATGAATCGAGACATCATAGTGGACTTGTCCTGTACTGTAGTAGGTTCGCCGGTCTTGTCCCAGCCCGGGTCTTCACCAGATGGTGACCCGGCGTAGATGACTTGTAGACGAAGCTTGGAGTAAGCCAGCCAGCCCTGTGGTGGTCGCAGACACGGTGATATCAACGCTGGTCAACATGGAGAAACACATCATCTCTTAAACTTTACAGAACAGTATTACATTCTGGTAATATTAAAACATATTCGGCTATTGCATACTTGCGGTATTAACTTCTCACCTTGGTTTTACTTTTTCTGGAATAAGAGATAAATTTTGCTTCACGGCCAACCTGCGACTGTTGTTGTTGTGGGTAACACAACAGGGAGTGGCGTAACACAAGGTTTACCTTGGTAAGTAAACAGCAACCACATGTGGGAAAACCATCTACTTCTATCTAGATTTAGGATTACAGGTATCAAGTATTTCTAGATTTAGTACTCGTGTATTATCTAGATTTAGGAGTATCCGGTATTATCTACATGTCGGAAGCAAGGATAGTAATACACAAATAACCCGCACATAGAAGAGAGGAGCTTACGATGACGTTTCGGTCCGACTTGGACCATTTACAAAGTCATAGAGTGACTTTGTAAATGGTCCAAGTCGGACCGAAACGTTGTCGTAAGCTCCTCTCTTCTATGTGCGGGTTATTTGTGTATTGTCCCAGTCACGGTATTGTGCCTTTTTTTGTTATTCAAGGATAGTAAAGCAAGAGGCTCTCCCATCCATCTTCCTCGGGCTACTGCAGGTATGAAATGATGGAGGAAAAAACATACCATTTCATACTATAAAAATGGCATGGAATTTACTCGAGAGATAAAAGTGAACGGAATTTACTCGGAGTGTGAGTTTTGTAGAGAAAGTAGAGCCGATGTAGCAACTAACTAAATTAAAAGTTACTCTCCCTCTCTCTGGGAGCAAACACTGAATAAACTATTCATGAATTTACATAAATAAACAGTTTTCAGTAGTGGCAAATAAAATATTTAGATCTACTGATATAATGAGTGTGAGCAGTGTGCGTGCAGGGATGGCAGCAGTGTGTTTGGAAGGGTCGATGGCAAGGAGAGAGAGAGAGAGAGGGAAGGGAGAGGGGAAAGTTGGAAGAAAATGGGAATTCCATATAACGGTGTAGCTTATGAAATCCTGGATTCTAACTGCACTGTAAAGATCAACGTTTTCATCTCCTTAGTGATATTCCCGGCTTTCACAGTATTTCTTGCACTGATATTCTCTGAGAGACAGGTCATCTGACAGGTGATCTGACATTATTACACCCACGGTTTTTCCATGTTCTTTTCACTGTGTGTGGTGATCCTCCAGGTGCCTGTATACTCTTCCTCTTCTGAGCTCATTTTATCCCATTTCTGAGGCATTGAAATTTGTCCCCACTTAACATGATGTTATTTTCTATCACCTACTGGAATACTTTGTTTATATCCTCTAACAATTTTTCGTTCAGCCTACTTTTTGTGTCCTCTCCAAAGGATGATACAAAGGTGTGATTTGTGTTTTTATCTAGTATACGATGATAAGAAACAAGAGCCCGTCTGTCGAGCACTCAGCATACAAAGGATCGAGCCTACACCACATCTTGCGATGAATGACCCACATGGGTTTAGCGCCAAATCTTTTGTTTTCATGCAGTGACGTGGGCGTGCAGGTTTCAGACCAGTCCCTCTAGGACTTTCCAGGTGTAACTTGTAATGAATTCTTCTCGTCTGCTTTTCAGTAAGAACGGTTCAAGGGACCTCGAGCATTCTCAGCAGTTCAGATGTCTGATTGAATGTACACAGGACAGAACACCAGACGATGCCATGTTAAACCACGGTACGGGTGGGAACTGAACTCACCGTGAGTCGTAAAATTCCAGGCCAGTGCGTAAACCACTGAGCCAGCTGGCTACAATAAGATTCATCCAACTAGGTATATTTGTACACCATAGTGAGGTTAGCACAGGCACCACTGTAGCCACAAATGCTACTTTTCAGAGATGAATTTCTAGCTCATAATGACGGCTTTGAGGGGACTTGAACTAGAGTTCACCACGACCACGCTGGCGGGAGATTCATCTGTAAAAACTCGCATTTATGGTCGCAGTGGGACCCATGCTAACATAAAATAAGAGAGGAGGAACAACACTGCAGCAAGCCTACTGGGTCTCACTATGGTGTATAAATATACCCGGTTGGGTGAATCTTATAGTAGCCAGCTGCTCCAGTGGTTTACGCACTGGCCTGGAGTTTTACGACTCGTCTGCCATAGGTTCAAACCCCAACCAGCCACAGAGTAGTCAGTAAGTGGAATAGTTTGGAAAACGATGTAGTGGAGGCAGGATCCATACATAGCTTTAAGCAGAGGTATGATAAAGCTCACGGTTCAGGGAGAGTGACCAAGTAGCGATCAGTGAAGAGGCGGGGCCAGGAGCTCGGACTCGACCCCCGCAACCTCAACTAGGTGAGTACATTGAGACACTTATGCAGCATAAGGGAATCTTTATTCAGGAAACGTTTCGCCACGCAGTGGCTTCATCAGTCCAATACAAAGAGGAAGGCGTAAGGAGAGGAGGAGAATGAGGTAATCAGTCCCTCAACCTGGAGTCGATGTGTTCAGTCCATCAATGATGGACTGAACACATCGACTCCAGGTTGAGGGACTGATTACCTCATTCTCCTCCTCTCCTTACGCCTTCCTCTTTGTATTGGACTGATGAAGCCACTGCGTGGCGAAACGTTTCCTGAATAAAGATTCCCATATGCTGCATAAGTGTCTCAATCTTCAACATGTCGGTTTTTCAAACCATTCATCACACACACATAGGTGAGTACAACTAGGTGAGTACACACACACACACACACACACACACACACACAATACAACAGGCCTAGTGTCTAATCGACATGTGCCTAGGACAAAATGGTAACTAACACACACACAGAGGCAGAGACACATAAACACAAAAAGACAAAGAGACACAGTGACACAGACACCGAGAGATACAGAGACAGAGAGACAGACAGCGAGACTCAGAGACACGGAGAGATAGACAGAGAGAGAGAGAGAGAGAGAGAGAGAGAGAGAGAGATACACAGAAAGAGACAGATACACTGAGATAGAGACACTGAGAAAGACAGAGAGAGAGACACACAGAGACATAGAGGAGAGAGAGGGAGAGAAGAGACAGACACAGACGCACACACATGCGCGCACACACACACACACACACACACACACGCACACACACGCACACACACACACACACACACACACACACACACACACACACACACACACACACATAGCGAGTACAGAAAGCTACTTACCATCTTGACTATAGTGTTGGGACTTAATATGGCTGCTTCTCTTTTTCTGGCATTTCTCCTGTTGCTTCTGTGGACAAAAAAAAAAAATTGCATGTTCAGGATACCAAGAACTGAAAAAATTATCTCTGAGGAAAGTTCACGCTACGTTACTGTACACTTTTATATATATAATTAAAACAATAGATTGGAGGAACACTACAGCAGGCCTACTGGCCCATACTAGGCCTGATATGTGCGCTCGCATGTATACATATAATATTTGTGTGCGTGCAAAGTTCCTTGTGTGTGTGTGCGTGTGTGTGTGTGTGTGTGTGTGTGTGTGTGTGTGTGTGTGTGTGTGTGTGTGTGTGTGTGTGTGTGTGTGTGTGTGTGTGGTTTTTTCCCTGTCTTACCAAGTCATGTAGATTATGGAGCATGTGAGTGTACAAGGATCCTCGGAGTGGTGTATGTACGTGTGTCTACGTGTATCAGAGACTCCTACTTGTGCCTTGTACCTACAGTCAAAGTTCCAGCATCTTAAAGCTGATTTAGCGTTAATATGAAGGAGGGGTGTTAATGTTGCAGTTTATAACTGTAGTGTAAGAGCGCCTCTGGCAAGACAGTGATGGAATGAATGATGAAAGATTTTCTTTTTCGGGCCACCCTGCCTTGGTGGGAGACGGCCGATGTGTTAATAAAAAAAAAATGTATCAAGGTTTATTTTGAACCGTGGTGGAGCAATACCGGGTCAGACGAGGTCTGTATCAACACTCATGGAGTGACAAGTGAAAGTCGAGTGTGCGAGCCAGAACATATAAAGCGACGTGACTGCTTCTAAGAACAGTAATTACAAAATTAAGTTACAGCTACGGAGCCAAGGCGAACAACGCAGCATTACTTAAATTTTTAAACATTCTCATTCTAAAACTATTGTGACAATTAGAGTAACGGGACGACATTCTCCTGCACACACTCATGGCGGCTTGTAGCGCCAGTAATACCTATACCATCGTACCGCGTTAAACTTATATTTTTAATAATTTTTTATCTCATTTCAACAAAAAAATAAAAATTCGCTTATAAATACATTGAAAACAACATACAACAGATTTTTCCTGTAATATATTTGTCAGTTGCAAATTATTTTAGCGTAAGGTTGATGAAGTCATACGTCTGGCAGTAAGCATCTGGGGGGACTGCAGCTCTGCAGCTCCAATAGACGAGCCGCCACTGCAAGATCTAAAATTGCTATATTAGCTTAAACTCCAAGACGCAAATACACTGAACAGCAGGAAAAAACAAGGAAATTGTAATATACAGTACACTGAGAACTTGTTCCCTATATACACTTTAAATGACGTGCTCTTTAATTTTTAAAGGGTGACCTGGTAAGCCAGCGGAAGGCCTCAGTCTATGAACAAAAGCTCCAATTAATGGGTTACCATACGATGAATACCCGTGTCAGGAAACCTTTGAATTATTTAATAACAAATAAGATACAACCACCAAATAACTACAAAGGGAAATAAGGCCAATAATTAGGTAACCCCGACGAGAGACCTTAAGTAGTTGCCTAATTTTTTCCTTTCTTTATTTCGCTCAAAACTCTAAACTCTTCATCTGATTAGATTCAAATTCCGAATACTTGTGTACAATAACGAGGACCAGATCCCTAAAACAACTGGCATGAACAGGTGTCCTGTGACCAAAGTTACTGAACCCATCCCCAGCATCCTGTAATGGCTCGGATAACTTGTAAAACTTTCAGCGTCGTAGCTTCGTCGTAGCTGCGTCTTAAGAGGTGCATGAGTTTCCCTGTCTACTAATATCATGTTTATTCCCCCCCCTATAATCTACCTTGTTCAAAATTATTAACTCATTTGCTTTGTCTGCTTTCGTAAGGTGAGGTCTAAGATCTTTCCTGAATTCATGGTATAACTCAACAAATCTTTGAGGACAACTGTCGTCAAAGATCCTAGACTTCACCTTATGAAAACAAAGTAAATGCGATAGTAATTATGGACAAGGTAGAGTTTATGTATAAAATAATATATTAGAAGAGATGGGAACTGACGTGCCTCTTGAGTCGACGACAACGACGGAGAGTAACAAAGTGACGGAGTGACGGAGCAGCTGATGCATGTTATGGCAAGGATAGTAACCATATTTAATGGGTGATGCATGTTATGGCAAGGATAGTAACCATATTTAATGGGTGATGCATGTTATGGCAAGGATAGTAACCATACTTAATGGATGATGTATGTTATGGCCAGGATAGTAACCATACTTTATGGGTGATGCATGTTATGGCAAGGATAGTAACCATTCTTAATCTGTGATACATGTTATGACCAAGATAGTAACCATTGTTAATGGGTGATGCATGTTATGACCAGGATAGTAACCATTCTTAATCTGTGATACATGTTATGACCAAGATAGTAACCATTGTTAATGGGTGATGCATGTTATGGCCAGGATAGTAACCTTACTTAATGGGTGATACATGTTATGGCCAGGATAGTAACCTTACTTAATGGGTGATACATGTTATGGCCAGGATAGTAACCTTACTTAATGGGTGATACATGTTATGGCCAGGATAGTAACCTTACTTAATGGGTGATACATGTTATGGCCAGGATAGTAACCTTACTTAATGGGTGATACATGTTATGGCCAGGATAGTAACCTTACTTAATGGTGATACATGTTATGGCCAGGATAGTAACCTTACTTAATGGGTGATACATGTTATGGCCAGGATAGTAACCTTACTTAATGGGTGATACATGTTATGGCCAGGATAGTAACCTTACTTCATGGGTGATACATGTTATGGCCAGGATAGTAACCTTACTTCATGGGTGATACATGTTATGGCCAGGATAGTAACCTTACTTCATGGGTGATACATGTTATGGCCAGGATAGTAACCATACTTCATGGGTGATACATGTTATGGCCAGGATAGTAACCTTACTTCATGGGTGATACATGTTATGGCCAGGATAGTAACCTTACTTCATGGGTGATACATGTTATGGCCAGGATAGTAACCGTACTTCATGGGTGATACATGTTATGGCCAGGATAGTAACCTTACTTAATGGGTGATACATGTTATGGCCAGGATAGTAACCATTGTTAATGGGTGATGCATGTTATGGCCAGGATAGTAACCTTACTTAATGGGTGATACATGTTATGGCCAGGATAGTAACCTTACTTAATGGGTGATACATGTTATGGCCAGGATAGTAACCTTACTTAATGGGTGATACATGTTATGGCCAGGATAGTAACCTTACTTAATGGGTGATACATGTTATGGCCAGGATAGTAACCTTACTTAATGGGTGATACATGTTATGGCCAGGATAGTAACCTTACTTCATGGGTGATACATGTTATGGCCAGGATAGTAACCTTACTTCATGGGTGATACATGTTATGGCCAGGATAGTAACCTTACTTCATGGGTGATACATGTTATGGCCAGGATAGTAAACCATACTTCATGGGTGATACATGTTATGGCCAGGATAGTAACCTTACTTCATGGTGATACATGTTATGGCCAGGATAGTAACCTTACTTCATGGGTGATACATGTTATGGCCAGGATAGTAACCGTACTTCATGGGTGATACATGTTATGGCCAGGATAGTAACCGTACTTCATGGGTGATACATGTTATGGCCAGGATAGTAACCTTACTTCATGGGTGATACATTTTATGGCCAGGATAGTAACCTTACTTAATGGGTGATACATGTTATGGCCAGGATAGTAACCTTACTTAATGGGTGATACATGTTATGGCCAGGATAGTAACCTTACTTAATGGGTGATACATGTTATGGCCAGGATAGTAACCTTACTTAATGGGTGATACATGTTATGGCCAGGATAGTAACCTTACTTAATGGGTGATACATGTTATGGCCAGGATAGTAACCTTACTTAATGGGTGATACATGTTATGCCAGGATAGTAACCTTACTTAATGGGTGATACATGTTATGGCCAGGATAGTAACCTTACTTAATGGGTGATACATGTTATGGCCAGGATAGTAACCTTACTTAATGGGTGATACATGTTATGGCCAGGATAGTAACCTTACTTCATGGGTGATACATGTTATGGCCAGGATAGTAACCTTACTTAATGGGTGATACATGTTTATGGCCAGGATAGTAACCTTACTTCATTGGTGATACATGTTATGGCCAGGATAGTAACCTTACTTAATGGGTGATACATGTTATGGCCAGGATAGTAACCTTACTTAATGGGTGATACATGTTATGGCCAGGATAGTAACCTTACTTAATGGGTGATACATGTTATGGCCAGGATAGTAACCTTACTTAATGGGTGATACATGTTATGGCCAGGATAGTAACCTTACTTAATGGTGATACATGTTATGGCCAGGATAGTAACCTTACTTCATTTGGTGATACATGTTATGGCCAGGATAGTAACCTTACTTAATGGGTGATACATGTTATGGCCAGGATAGTAACCGTACTTCATGGGTGATACATGTTATGGCCAGGATAGTAACCTTACTTAATGGGTGATACATGTTATGGCCAGGATAGTAACCTTACTTAATGGGTGATACATGTTATGGCCAGGATAGTAACCTTACTTAATGGGTGATACATGTTATGGCCAGGATAGTAACCTTACTTAATGGGTGATACATGTTATGGCCAGATAGTAACCTTACTTCATGGGTGATACATGTTATGGCCAGGATAGTAACCATTCAGGCAGTTTGGTGTCGGAAAATTTGTCAGTGCAATAAATAATTTTTAACTTCGGTAGCATACATTTTTTATGAAATCGACAGTCTTAAAAAAATCTTACAGATTGTGTAGAGAATAAAGAAAAAAAACTATTTAACTCAAAAAAAAAACGGAATATTGAAAACTGTTTTCTGAATGTACATTTCATGTTGAGCGAACCGTTTCATGTTGCATGACATGTCACATCATACAATACCCAATGTTTCAATGAACAAAATTCATACCAAATATACACACGTATCACTTTGTATATTTTGTGAGCCAATCACAGCACCAGATTAAAAAGCAACCTATACTCACTAAAAAAAAAT